AGGAGAGAATGAAAAAAAAAACATGGTGACAGCAGAATCAATAAAACAAGACCTGACTAGTACTGGTGCTTCAAGGTCTGCTCCTATTATCTGTTTTGTGTCTAACAATCTGCATTTGCATGATCCCCAGTTCAGCCAGTCCAAGCATCTTCACGTGTTCTCRTCTCACACCTCTGACTGTGAATATTTGGTGACTGACAGGATTAAGTGGCCAGTCTTTAGGTCAGTTTGTCAAACTTATTACTTCTTATACATTCCCACCCCATCCATCCTGTATCATGCAATAGTCACAGGTCAACCAGTAAAACAATGAGGTTGCTAAGAAAATGCTACTGGAAATGTGCAAATTCAACAAGCTCAAAAAGCTGATTTAGAGCTTGATATTCACGAAAAATATCATCTATGATCCTAAAGGAAAATTTTACATGAATCAGTTCAGCGCAAACTCATTGGGTCTGTGTACCAGCATCAATTTACTGGTTGAATTTGTTCAGTTTTAATGGTGTTTCCTTATCAACCTCAGTGTTTTCCCAGTAATAATGTGAGCATACACCATTGGAACAACTTGTTTTGTAGCATCAGATGAATCAAAGGATGTTAAAGCATATTCACAACGAGGAGGAAATTGATAAATTTGGTTCTGTTCCAGCTCAYTGACAGTTTCTTTTTGTGTGCCAACAAAACAAATGAGGTCAAACGCCCGTGATGGTCAGTGCACAAAGGTGGGTCATATGACTTGATAGGATCAAGCTGACCAAGACAAATAGGGTTTTACAGTATATATATATATATATATATATATATATATATATATATATAACAAAAACAAAACAACAGTGTTTATTTCATCAGAACCATCAAGGAAGCAGCAAGTTTCCAAGTGTTGTAAAACTCAGCTTAGATCCTCATCCTGATCACTTTCAATGTTGTTGACAGTGTTATCAAGTCCTGTATGTATAGTGCTTTAGTTCAGAAATCTTAAAACAGAGAAACGTCTTCTTCTTTTCATGACAAGGACATCACCGTTCTCAGCCTCCATGGAAACGTCCATATTAGGTGCTGGAAACTCCAGCTTCGGATGTTATCATCCATTAAATTGATGCRTTAGTCATTAGCAGGCACACCCGCAAATAAGAATTTGACCAATAATCCAACTTTGGGTTCAGGAAGACTAATCTTACTTTTAACATACAAAGCTCTTAACAACCAAGCTCCATCATATATTAAAGATCTTATTGTTCCATACTTTCCTAACAGAGCACTTTGCTCTCAGACTGCAGGTTTATTTGTGGTTCCTTGAGTTTCTAAAAGTAGAATGGGAGGCAGAGCTTTCAATTATCAAGCTCCTCTCTTATGGACCCAACTTCCAGTTTCTGTCCGTGMGGCTGACACTCTGTCTACTTTTAAGATTAGACTGAAGACTTTCCTTTTTGATAAATCCTATAGTTAGACTTAGGTTTCCTGATTTTTTTCTTCATTTCTGCTGCTATAGACTTAGACTGCTGGAGCACAAACTGAGCACACTTCCTCACTCTGTTGTTGTCTTTAGCCTCTCTTCTACGTTTATTGTAATTATTTCTATCAATAACATGTTTTTTTTCTTTTTGTCTCTTTTCCAGAAGACGGTGCACCTGGACCAGTTCTTCTGTTTGTCTGTGTCTCTTTCCTGTCCTCTCAACCAGCCGGCCGAGGAAGATGGCCACCTGTCCTGAGCCTGGTTCTGCTGGAGGTTTCTTCCTGATTAGCAGGGAGTTTTTCCTCTCCACTGTTTTCTCAGGATGGGAGACTGTGATGAAGTGATTCATCACAATCTGCTGGCTTCTTCTTTAGATTGTTCTTTTTCATGTACAGTGCCCTGAGACAACGTATGTTGTGACTTGGAGCTATATAGATAAACTGAATTGAATTGATTTGAATTGAATTAATGCATTTTTTTTGTCTTGTTTGTGCAGTGCTGCCCCCTCTTCACACYCTCAAGGACATTTCAGGTATGTGTTGTGTTCACTTGAAAAAAGCTACAAATGTTCATAGAGCCAATTGATARTTATGTGGTTTCTCTTAATTGCATCATTCATCAACATCATTCAAGGTTCCAAAACTGTACTTTGGGTTATGCATACACAAGTCATGCTATATTGTACACAAAAGACAGAAAACTTTCATAATGAAAGTTATTGCCAATATATTTTTAGTTGATGATTTTTTTTTTTTTCTGGGATGCAACATTTGAAAAAAAAATTGACATACAGATCAAAAAGATAAAAAAAATAAGTAGGTCCTCTGGATGGGTTCTTCTTTAGTGAAACGAGTCGTCTCTCCTCCAAGAGACGAACCCATCCAGAGGACCTACTTTTTGATTATTTTTACTACCTGGATTACTGAGATGCATCAGGACATTGACATGCAGACGTAAAAATACAGATCATCTCAAAAGTCCTGTGGCGTGAGTATTTCTAAAACAAAGCATGCCATTATCAATTTTTTTTCTAAAAAGGTTTCACCAGTGATGCATCTTGTCTAACTTTTATTAAAAAATCAACATGCATTAATACTTTCTCATCTATTATCTGCACTAAGCTCATGCAGTTCCCCCTGTACYATATTGATTTATAGACTGCATTTCAGTCTTATGTTGTTGCACTTCATCCATTACTATTTACTTTTACTGAGGACATAACTGCCTATCAATTCTKATTTGAGCTTTCTTTGATATGAAAAATACAGTTTTAAGGTGAAGCTACAAGGCTACAGGAACCCCACCTGTCCCAAACAATGTGTCACAACATGTTGACCTCCAAAACTTAAACAGGAGAAAAAAAAATCCAATCAACTGCGACCCTTTTTGCCTCATTACCTTCCTGCTACCAGAGGAGGCGCCACCTGCTTCCTCTCCAAGGTTGTGATGTCCTTCCCTGCCTGACCAGCACCAAAACAGCAGATAGATGGCCACGCTCACCTCCACACTCTGTTTCTTTTCATCTCTTTCTCAGTCTTTCACCCTGACAGACTTTGGCCAACCCTGCCAGAACTGCTGACTGGAGTCCARGACGAGTGTCAGCTTTAGCCACACAGTTGGACGAGTGGAAAGATGGAGGGAGTGATACAAGAAGGGACGGAAAGACGGATTATTTTACAGGCTCTGCCAAAAGACCCTCTTTTGGTGTCTTGGCATCAAAAGTGGTGATTAGACTGACACAGGATGACAACACAGTAGTTGGCCTCCAGTCTTGCTGTTCCACCAGCGAGCCACCTGCAGATTACAAATATCAAGAGTTTCTGTCATGCAGTGAAGCTCAAATATAAAGCAATGCTTTGGGGAAACATTTTCATAAACAGTGAAAACTCATTCATATATAATAGATGTTATTTTGCCCAAATGRATCAACTATCAAGTTTAAACTTATCCATAAGGATGCTCTTTATGCAACAGTTAGTCTAATGTTGCAATATTAATTTAAATAAAAGAAATATTTTCAAATGAAATGATATTAACTGCAAGCAGATGTTTAATCAGATCTCTTCAGTGTGAAAAAGAAAAAAAAAACAGTTTTGCAGAATTTGCCAACTACCACCTCTGCACGCTCACTGACTTTAAGTTGACATTGATATTTATTTTCCAAAGGTGGTAACCATAGAGACTGAATACTAATCTCTATTCTTACAAGTGCTAAAAAAGGAACTGTAAATGCACTGCTTTTTTCTCATAAAATCAGAAAAAAATAGTTATGCAACATAATAAAAAAGTTTTAAAAATCCACTGTCTTTTTAAACTTTCTGACATAAGTTGTTGTATCATGAAAGTATTTTGAATCAGAGAAACAAAACCAGTAGTATATGTTTTCATTTTATTTATNCTTTTATACTTTTATATGAAATATTAATGATACCACTTGCAATGAAAAAGTAATGACACACTGAACGAAAGTGTAGTTCATTGATCACTGAAGATGAGAACCACACATTCCAACACATTCTGCCATTGTTTAAAGAACATTTGAACATTTTCTTTTCTTTTCATTTCATTTTTTTCKTTCTCTCTCTTCCAAGAATATTTGTATCATTTTTTTTTTCTCTCTAGATTGAACTTCTGTTTACTAAAGAAGTTATTGGGCTTTTTGCACACTGTCGCAGCAGTGGAACAATTATAACTCCTACACAGTACCTGCATAGCTTTTTACATGTTAATCAACAAGAATAAAAATGAATTCATTTTACTACAAATAATAATAATAAAAATATAAGTCCTTCTTTGCGCTGAAGCTGCAAGTTTTACTTTGTTCCTGCTCCTCTATGCAATGACATGAAATTAGGTTAGAATAAAAAAAGAAATAWAAGGATGACTTTAAAAGCATCTATTGATCATGATACAAATATTTTAACTGTTAATGTTTTGTGGTGTTGGCTCAGTTTGACAGTGTGGTATGTCCCCTTCTTCTTGGTCTATGGAGTTTGATGGAACAGTAAATGTACCCACCACCCACTCCACTCAACCACCCAACCACTGTATGAATCATGCTTTAGTAGCACTTTTTTCTGGCATGTTTTTTGTTTGTTTCACCAGGCCTATTGTTTTCAGACTCATGTAAGGACACATGTATTGTTTAAAAAAATAATAAAGCTTTTTTTTTTTTTTAAAGGAAGGGAGCAGCGTGTTTTTTAAAATGACTGCATATCAAAAGGGTCTCTGGTTGTTCTGTCCAATATGGTTTTGTTGGTGGAAGCTCTCCACTTCTCCCCCTCTCTTTCCGTTTCTTTCCACTGCTCTGCTCATTCCATCCTCCCTAATCAAAACAACACAGCCACCGTGATTAAAYCCATCAAGCAGAAGCACTCGCTAAATCTTCAAGTTGCACTTAAAACACGTGTTTCCCTTGTAAAAAGCTTTGTTCAGCTAATGTTAAAAGTCCTCCGCTCCCTCCCTCCCCCCTCCCCTGTCCTCTCTCCTCTTCACTCTCTTGAAAACTCTTTGGGCTTTTCCAGCTGAGCGATTCAGGCTGAGGCGGGCGCAAACGCACTAGAAGGAAAGTCAAGTCGTGCTGGACTGGCGCGGTATCCTCGCGCGGTTTACAACTGCAGAAAGGAGCCGAACCGTAATTAATCATGCTTCTAAAATAATGACAAATGCTGATCGGGTTTTCTGCGAAGCATGGCTTTCCTTTTAACTTGCTTCCTGGTGTTTTGGTAAGTACATGACAACTCTTTTCTCTGCGTGTTTTCGGACTTTTACGCACGGAAAGCGCAGGCTGGAAGAATGCGCAACGGGATAAAAACAGAACATAGATATTTCAAAACGTTGCGTTTGTTTCTGAAACAAATTCCCATCGAGGTCTGTTCATGTGGTTACAGTGTGGACAGTGTTTGGGGGAATCAGCACAGTGAGACCAGCATCTATTTGGATAACATCACGCGCATATTGGATAGATTACTTGATGGCTATGACAACAGGCTGCGACCTGGATTTGGAGGTATGCTAATGATCGGCTGGTGTTTGTAATTTATTTGGAACTGCCCCCCTGTTTACTGTTTTCATCCCTTCTTTCAAAAGATAAAGTTTTACCCTGGCAGTTGTGTGTGCCCTATAATATTGTCTCCTTAGTATAATAGTGTGTTTTATTTACATCTTTACTCAGTGTATCTATAAATCATATGTCATGGTTTATTAATGAAAAACAAAAACATATAGATTAGTTTGCTGGGTTGGGCTTTACAAGAACTTTATTATGTTTAATATTTTGAATCACTTTCAATTTCTGACACAAAGTTTTCTTTTCATATAATAAAAAGTGACCACTTTTGCTGTATAGGTCCTGTCACAGAGGTCAAAACTGATATCTTTGTCACCAGCTTTGGGCCCGTTTCAGATGTTGAGATGGTACGTACACCATGTTGACTGCCTAAATATATTTTAACTGCTTCATGACTTGCTATGGATCCATTGTGTTCACAAAATGTACAGTTTTCTTTTTTTTACAGTAAGACATATAGTTTTTCCTAGCTTTCATTATTCCAGCATTTAGGCAGGATGTCATTAGTACAGCTTAGGATTTTAATCTGTTTGACAATCCCTCCACCACAGAGGGAGCGAGCGATGTGGATGATGGTGGGATGGGATAGGCTGACTATTCCTGCCATGGGATAGGTTGACTGATGCATGACTTTTGTGCTCTGTTCTGTGGGCTTAAAATATTTGACAGACTCTAAAATCTATAATATGCTGGCAGCTGTTGTGTTTTGAAGAATGCAAGCAGCTCTTAAGGAGACCAGGGTCATCRAAATCAACCTATTGTGAACTTTGTTTTGACTTTAAGATAAAGCTAACTCTGTTATTTTGCAGTGTTTTTTGTCAAACTTCTAGTGTGGCATGTGTTAGCRTTATTTATAAATAACCTAAATAACCTAACTTGTCAGTTTTACTTGCACTAGAATTAACTGTAAAACAGCCAGGAAAGAACAAGAGAAAGAAAGAGAGAGAGAGAGAAAAAAAATAAATCAGTGTGAGAAAACAACTTAGACTGCCAGTTCTATATCAAGCTGGTTTCATCAAAACCAAACCTCACAAACCCATCTGTCGTTCTCTCTGGGGTTCCAGATAATAATGGCAAAAAATAGTAGACACAAGAGCGGCAGCAGCTGTAGGCTTGGTGATACTACTAGTGAAAAATACCTTATTAACACATACTCTGACCCCTACCCAGGAATACACCATGGATGTGTTCTTTCGTCAGACATGGATTGACGAACGGCTAAAATTTGAGGGTCCGATTGAGATCCTGCGGCTGAACAACCTGATGGTCAGCAAAATCTGGACGCCCGACACCTTTTTCCGAAATGGCAAGAGGTCGATATCTCACAACATGACCACCCCCAACAAGCTGTTCCGCATCATGCAGAACGGAACTATCCTCTACACCATGAGGTAACCGTGAGCCAAATAGAACACAGACCTGAAATGCAAGTCGAGCAACCAGGCATCCAATAATATGTACAAGCATCAACAGAAATGAAGAGCACTGGTCCAAAAAAAAATATGTGCCATCTGATACTGAAAACAAGCCTTGAAAGCTATTCAAAGAAACATGACTCCAGCCTTGTTCCAAAAGCAAATGAAGCACTAAAAACAAGACAAAAAGAAAACAGTGATGTTAAAAAATGTGTGGATTGTTTTTTGCTTTTAAAATCCATTCAAGAAAATCAAAACCACACCGTAATTGGGTCTATAGATTTCTTATATAATCTTGTTGGTTAGAGTTATAACAAACATACAAAAATGGATCTGAAGACCATTGGTGATGAAAACTGCAGTCCTGCTAATCATTCTCACATTTTCAACATAATAAGTTATTCATAATAATCATTTCTTTTAAAACTAAATCTAGCTATTTAATATTAATGTAGGACCCCCCTCACAGTTGCCATATGTATCTTGCACATAAACTKTATTAAGGAAACACTAGTCTTTGTTGAATTCTTAAAACATTTGAGATCCCCTTCATCTTTGTGTCTAAAAAATCTCCACAAAGTTCTGACCTACTTTGCAGCAGCGTATGCTGTGTTCCTTTTTGTATTTTTTATAAACCTGAGTAATTAAGGTTGCTGCTACATTAACAAGGGAAGCTGTGCAACAGGTTTATGTTTACTTTCATCAAAATGTTATGTGTCTACAGTTAAATGAGCACAATGCCTATGGATATTTTATTAGAATACAGTATATTTTGGAATTTCTTCAGCAGCTGTAAACATAAATAAAAACAGTAGGTATGTGTTATTGATTATTTTTATATTAAAGAAAAAAAAAAGAAATACGGGGGARGGGAGGGGGTAACAGTGGAACTGAGGGGTTGCGTGAATGTGGAAAAAGTTTTTAAATAACCAGGGTACAGAGTGAGAATGTATTTCTTCTCTTTTGATTTAAAGGGGGCATATCATGCAAAATCCACCTTTTTAGCCTTTAAATGCAATTTGTTGTACTTGGAGTCTCTAGGAGTGCAGAGAAGATGAATTTAGTCTCTCCTGGTGCTATGTATCTTTATAATCTGTTTTAGTCATATTTTTCAACCGTGTTTTTTTTCTATTTCCAATGACATTTTCTGAACTCTTACATCACAGTGTTTGCAACAGAACTTCTAAATAAGGTCTGGACTTACCCACTACAATTTGGTGGTCYTCATTCTCCTCTGGCTCCAACATGTAAGGCTGGATGGACAAGTCTTCCGTTGTTGACATGTTTTAATTAATTTGCGAACAAAATGTTTCTGTGCTGCTCCATAGTCATACACCCCTCTATCAAAATAGAATGGAGTCTTTTGGAAGCTGGAGGGGGGCGGGGTGAAGCGCCTTGTTTGGATTTAAAGAGACAGCCTCAAAACGAGTAGATCTGAGGCACTCTTCAGAAAAGGGGTGAAAGAGGGGCTTGTGGAGTTACAATAAGGAAGAATTCAGAACAAATCATTGCAGTTCTACTTTATGTAGATAATGATTATGTTAATGATTTAAATGTGAAAAAAGGTGGATATGTCTCCTTTACTTATGTTTCATTTTCAGATAAATGCAACAAAAAAACTGATAAGTTTACTGATTAAGTTCTGAAAAATATTCAATTAGGCATCAATTTATTATTAATATTAGGCATAAAATACACCAAGATTTGAAAACTTCACAACGATTGAATTTTGCTATAAGTTTCTAGAAATTTAAAATTAAAACATTCACCTTTTGTGAGTGGCTATTGCTTTTTTATGCACAAAAAACTGTTAAGTGTTCTTATTTATTCATTTATTTATGAACAATTCTCCATCACTGTATTTATTAAAAGTTTAATCTCAAATAAACATGTTGCATTCTATACTTACATTTGCACCATGCTGAATATTTTTTTTTGTTTAAAGCAGCTCACATCAAGTATAAATGAAACATTTTTCAACTCTTCTTCATTCTGACAGATTAACTATAAATGCAGAGTGCCCCATGCGCCTGATGAACTTCCCGATGGATGGCCATGCCTGCCCACTCAAGTTTGGAAGTTGTGAGTGGTTGTTTTTGTTAAGGCTTGTTGGCTTGACAGATGGTGTCACTCTCAAATGATCACACTGTCATAGAGTAACTGACCATCTGACAAGATGTCTTCGAAGATTTCAGTATGAAACATCACATACTGTGAATTTGGGAACTCAAAATAAATAGGCTCATCAGTTACTGTGTTGGGTTATTTATGTGAGTGTTTGTTTGTTTGGGTTTTTACATCAATCCCAAGACAGTAATGAAAAATAGTTTAAAAACACATTTCTTAAACCATTATGTAAACTTCACTGATATGTATTTATTGTTTATTGATTTGTATTTTTGAAGTATTCCGAAAAACTAGATTTTAACAAGGCTGTCAAACATCTTATTTAGATGCATACCCCATCAGTGAGATTGTTTACACATGGAAGAAAGGACCACTGTCCTCTGTTGAAGTGCCACAGGAATCCTCAAGTTTGTTGCAGTATGATCTCATTGGACAGACGGTTTCGAGTGAGAGGCTCAAGTCCAATACAGGTGAGGTGAAGGTTCTTAGAAAGAAGTTCAGAAGTGTGTTAAATTCAGTGTGTGCACTGCTGAGATCTGATTGCTTTCAGTTCACTGTGCGAGAAGACATAAAAAGTTGTTTAAAAAATTTCGCATTAAAGTAAAACTTTGAAACATAATTCTGATTTAAGTGCASAATTTCAAATCTAACAAACATATTCACCATCAGCATCAGCAATTTACATGTGTATAGTATTTTTTTAATTGGAAATATGGATAATGAATGCATAAAACATTTATTTATTTATTTATTTATTTATTTATTTGTTTATTTATTTTGTTTATATATTTACCAAATATTTTGGTGTTTAAACTTGCAGGTGAATACGTCATCATGACAGTTCACTTTCACCTTCAAAGGAAAATGGGTTTCTTCTTGATTCAGACCTACATTCCCTGCATAATGACAGTCATCCTGGCACAAGTGTCTTTCTGGATTAACAAGGAATCAGTTCCAGCTCGGACTGTGTTTGGTAAGCTGTTTTTAAAATCCATTTTACTTATATGATACCCTGAATAATTCATAATCTGACTTTCACTTTTAATTTCAAAGCAAGCCAGGACATGTGTTAGGCACACATTGGAAAATACAGAACACATAATATCTACTTGGAGGAAAAATATTTGGTAAATTCAAGACCAGTTTATTTATTTTTGGGGGAAAAAAATACCAACAGATGGCATTGCAAATAACCAAAGAGCCTCTATAGATGTGTTGATCTCGTTCAAGTTACCATACTTTTATTTTTGTTTGTAAGTTGCACAACTTTTGTAACTTTGAATTTATTACTGGCTAAATGAAATCATGTTCATTTGGTAAACATTGTTTTAAATTGTTCTAGTGCTTCTCATATTTTGATTAAATCTCTAAATTGAATCGATTATAAAACTCAACTTTTGTAAACTTGAGTAATCTAACTAAAAAAAGGCCTAATCACAAACAAATCAAAGAAAAAGTCAAGCAATGTTACTACTCTAAAGGTTTATTGATGATTTTATGTCAYATTTAAAGGAGACATATGCTTTAAATCATTCAATTCCTTCAGATGGAGTCTATAAAAATAAAAAGTCAAACTACAGTTCTTTGGTGTGAACTCTTTATTGTAACCCCACAAACCCCTTTTTACCCCTTTTCTGAGTTGTGTCTCAGATCAAGTCATTTTGAGGCTGTCTAAGTCCCTTTTAGTTTGATAGAGGGCTTTATGACTATAGCAGACTATAGGGCAGATAATTGTATTTACAAATGAATTAAAATATGTCAACAAGGGACAATTTGTCAATTCAGTCTTAACATGTTGGAGCCAGAGTCTGACCCAGAACCAGAGAAGGAAGATGACCAAATTGTAGTGGATAAGTCCAGATCTTAGTTGGTAATTTGTTGCAAATATTGGGATGTAACAGTTCAGAAAACATCATTGAAAATAGAAAACAGAATGGCTTGGAAACTATGACTAAACAGAAAATAAAGATATCTATGCAGCAACGTGAGACTAAATTTACATTTCTGCACTCAAGACTTCAAGTACACAACAAAATGCATTTCACTGTTAAAGAAGTGTATTTAACACGATCTGTTCCCTTTAATACTGATGCCTACAGAAATAATCTACAATGTTGAGAACATTCWTTCACACCTGGCTATGTGTTAGCTTCATTAGCCTTTTATAACTAGCTGGCAAAAAACCTATGTGCTGAGATTCCTAATGTGCTTAATGAAGATTGAAAGCTATCACAGCATGTAACTCCTGTTCAGTGTGTGCATGAAAGACTTATAACAGCTGAACCAACATCATTATAACAAAAACAATCTTTGTAAACATTGAAAAAAGAAGAGTTTTAGAGGAGATTGTGTGTACAACTGAGTACACAGACTGGCAGAATGATGATAATGTGGGAAATGGCACCTAACTAACTAGAATTTTGGTTATTGTGTTTGTTTTATTGTCCTTTGTGTCATATTGTGTGTTAATTTACTCTTGAATCAAAATTAAGTTTAACTCCAACATTTATGCAGGCACATCTCTCRCTTCTTCACACTTGTGTTTAATTTGCACATAAAACCCTTTATAAAATCCTTCTGTCCAAAACAAAACAGACATGCAATGCAGTTTTTTTTATCTTAATTCCTCCTTCACTGAATTAATTGGATATAAATTCATTTTTTTTCCTCAAATTTGGTTATGATAGCTCTAAGTGGAAGAGGGTGTTTACTTGGCCCTACTCCGAGCACTCGCAGGTTTCGATTTCTTGCATTACATTATGCTACAGTTGCCACCAATCTCTAAGCCTTGGAGCAGAGAGGGTGAGACGCATTAAACAAAGACAGGCATACAACAAGAGGGATAACACAAACAAAACAAAACAGAAAAAAAGACGAGGCAAAGAAGAAAAGCAAATGTGTGAAAGTACATAGGCGACCCCTTTGTTTCAAAACACCATTTGGCTTTTGTTAAAATTCAACAAGCTACAGCTGAGTAGAGTGATACTGCTTGGGTCTTGTAGCTCATGGTTCTGTTCTTTTCCTCAGAAGTGAGCCAGAACTCCATGATGCTTGCACTCTTCTGGAGAAAATAGATCCCAGTCATTAGCATTAGCATAGAAGTTTAGGCCTCATATAGAAGGCACATCTGTGGCAACTCATCAGCTTCAGCCATTCTGGTGTTTTTAGCTCTCAGTAATTTGTGTAATCTTTGGATTTTTTTTTTCCAAATTAAACCAGGATCGGTATTTTAAGAGGAAGGCAAGCAAAKGTTCTAAATTTATTCTATATTTAATAGCTGTACAGTGCATATAAAAGATCTTTCATCACAGTATCTATGTGTACAATGGCAATATCACAAAGTATTGTTCACAACAAATTATGCCTAATTTATAAGTGCCATAGTTGGTCAATCAGATACTCAAGCAACACCTAGTTCAGACGTGCAAAGAGAGTTTTCTTCCTAGTACTGGGCTTTCTGCTTGCATGCAATAGGGCTGATTTTGTCATGTGAAGTGGCCAAAAACCCATTATCTCAGCTATTTCCAATAGTATTTTGGATGGTACATGCAAGACAGAAGAGAATAAAAGAGAACTGACAGTGCATTAAGTTATAGTGCGATGTGCGCTGACTTGTCAACAACCTCTCCAAGAGCTGAGAGTCCCTTGAGCACAGGTTTTACAGACTTAATTGAGTGTGGCCTAATTTGTACCCCCCCCCCCCCACTAAAAGCACATAAATGCCCCAAGCATTTCATTTCTGTCCTGTCCTTATAC